CGCCTCCTGGGTTCAAACTATTCTCCTGCCTTAGTCTCCTCAGTAGCTGGGACTACAGGTGTGCACCAACACACGCAGCTAATTTTTGTATGTTTAGCAGAGACGGGGTTTCACCATGTTGGTCAGGATAGTCTCAATCTCTTGACCTCATGATCCACACACCTCAGCCTCCCAAAGTGCTGAGATTACAGGCATGAGCCACCATGCCTGGCTGGTAGGGAAGGAATTTTCTAAAGAAATATACTGCTAGGTTCAGTCTTAAACAAAAGCATTAAGGGAGACTCTGAAATAAGACCTGGGCAATCTAGATCTTGGGAATGATATTTGGGATACATTAAAAATGCCATTTTCAATATTAAAGCCCTAAAATATGTTTCTAACAACAGTTTATTAAGGTACTCTAGTCAATAAATTGTTGTTCTTTTAAAATATAGTTGTATTCTATATAAGAAATTGTTTACCACATTAATTTTTGAGTTGGGAGGATTATAGACATGTGACATTTATACACACAGGAGAAAAAGTCATTTTGAAACAGAAAACTGCTTCATTTCATAAGCATGCCATTAATACATGATTCAAGATGTCATGGTTTGGATGAGATAATCAAATTCCTCAGATAAATCAGTTGAAGGCAGCTGCTTCATTCAGGAGTGATTTAGAGATACATAAATTGAAAGGGAAAACGGTAAGTGTAAGGTTATTACTGAAAATGAAAAATGATTAAAAATTACTATTATGACTATTGGGTCAATTAAAACATTTTATGCTCATTCATCTTTCAGGAAGCCACCTACAAATGAAAGTATGGCACTAGCTCTACTTTTAACAAATAGAGCTTTTTTGAAGCTGAAAGATGTAAATGCCATTATTTTGAGACTGCATTTGCAAACTTTGGTGATCATCATAGAGAGAATGAACTAACATACTCTGAAAAATCCCAGTCCCATAAAGTTTTTTCTTGATAATAATAAAATTTCATGTTTATAAGGTGCCTTTTGTTTAACTTTTAAGACTTCACATATTGATGTGTTTAAATATGCACAGTTGTATATCACTGTCTTCATATATCATAGCTCAACTATTTCAGTTCCCTGGACATAAGGCAACTCTTTATTTCATATGAGAGAACACAATCTGTACTCCTGCCACACAAATTCTCTACAAATAACACCTTCTTATTAATGTTTCTATATTGCTTGAGCTGAAGGATTGTCAATGCAATCTTTTCTTAAAGCAATGTTTTAAAAATTTCTTTAAAAACAAAACACCTGTGTTTTCTGGCAGAACAACAATGCATCAGCCAAAATACTTTTATTTTATGACTAACTGTGGTTAGCTAGCACCCCATAATTCATTTCATAATTGGAAAAAAATGTAACATTTGCTGACATCATCTGAGTGCTGATCTGGACCCATTGAACAGGGAGTTTTCCAACAAAAACGATTTAATTTTCCACTTCACAATTCAGGAAGAATTTAGGATTAGGGCATTCATGGAATCTAGAAATGGTTTTCATATTCAGAATTTTAGCTCAAAATTTGGACAGGAAGAGAGACAACATAGTTTAATTTCTAAGACAAAAGTTGATCTGTAAAATCCTACTACTTTTTATGTACATTAATACCAGTCTGAGATCAAAATACTAAGCTCTGAAGAGAAAGGTATTGGGAATGAAAAATAATGAAAAATCTAATGAGCGAGGAAAGATAGCTACCATTAAATTTTATTCTAAAAGAGTTTCTTAAACAAAAATGTACTCACCTGATTTTTGCCTACCCAGATCTCAAGTTTACCTGAGCTTTCCATGCAAAATATACATGGAATGCATAAATAATTACTTAAAAGTAATGTACTGTCAGTCATAGTGGCATTATTTGATATTGATGTGGTAATGGGTCCAAAACTGTATGCACTCCAATGCAAACATGGCCAAAGAGTAGCCTATCTTTCTTAAGAAACTTTATCTTTGTATCGGAGAGGAGACAGAGAGGAAATTTATTTTTAGAGTTGTCATTTTCAGTGCTTTTTTCTCTTCTCATTTATTTATTTTATTTTTATTGAGCTATATCTATATCTTCTCATTTAAGCACTGTCTTGCATGAATTTTTAATTATCTACTTCTTTTCTTGGCTGGACTTGGCGCCAAAGTCATGACTTGGGTTAAACCTGTCTGTCTGCTTACCCTATGCCCATGTCTGAGCAGTTGAAAGGGCTGGAAAAAATACACACACACACACACGCATGCATGTGCGCACGTGTGCACACACACACATGCATGCATGTGCACGTGCGCACGCACACACACACACACACACAACCCTGTGTTGCTTGGTCTCTGTTTAAGTTCTACAGACATAAATCTCAGATGGGCACTCAACATGTCCAGAATCTCACTAAACTTTCATAATATTTTCACCAGCTTACATGTCCTAATAACCATGTCATGTTTTCCATGTGAAACTCCTACATTACCCAACCTCTACCATGCTCGTGCTCACTATAAGCTTGTGTTATATGCATCAGGAAAGTAGGAGCATTTAGACAGGAACTCCCTCATGTTTCTCTGCGAAAGCCACCAGCCTGCCAACATCATTATTCCTCTTTTTTCACTTCCTTCTCATTTCTGTGGTTGATGTGTCTTGGCCAAGGTCAAAAGACAACCTGGTCAAAGGCCTCTATTGATTATAAATCCTTCCCAGGGACTTCATTTCTATAGTTATCCCCTCTGTATCTTTGGAATTTCTACCTCATTTTTCTGTTTCCCTTAACAATAATTGTCTTCAAAGGGTTATCTAGAGTTGCTTGCTGTTATGGACTGACTTGTATTCCTCCAAAATTCATAGGTTGAAGCTCTAACCTCCAACGTGTCTGTATTTGGAGACAGAGCATGTATGGAGATAAGGCAAAATGATAGATTTTACTTTATAAGGATGGAGCTCTAAACTGACAGGACCACTGTCCTTCTGAGAAGCAGAAGAAACACCCAAGGATCTCTCTATCCACACACACACACAGGAGAGGTTGTGTGAAGATGCAATGAGAAGGCAGCCATTTGTAATCTAGGAAGAGAGGCCTCACCAGAAACCCACCCTGATAGCACCTTAATCTGGGACTTCTAGCCTCCAGAACTGTGATAAAATACATTTTTGTCGTTTAAGCCACTCAGCCTGTGGTATTTTGTTATGACAACCCAAGCAGACTAATATATTGCCCTTATTTTTTCAACTCACAATCCCTTTTAACTTACCTCAATTGAATGTCTGTCCCTACAACTTCATTGACTGTGCCATGGTCAAAATTATTAACAACCTCCCTGTTCGTAGCACTAATAACCATGCCGTCATTTCTGTCTTGCTCTCTCAGCAGCATTTAACAAAGTTGATCACCACTTCCTGCTGAATTGTTACTTTTCCCAGAAACCATGGCACTCTTTTGGTTTCTTTCTATTTTATTGGCTGCTGCTTCTTATTCTTCATCATGGGCACTTCCTCCTCCTCTGCCTGAATGCCTAAAGGTAGGACCAACCCAAGCCCTGTTCTCCCTTCTTTTCTTTATCTACATTGTTTTTCCAGTCAGCTTCGTTCAGTCCCATGGCTTTAAATACTATTTGTGTACTGACAGTTTCCAAATCATATGCTTAGCTCTGATCTCTCTTTTGAGCTCCAAATTTTATATTTAGATCTCTCTTTGACAGCTTCACATGAATATTAAATAGCTATCTCAATTGTAATGTACTCAAAATAGAACTTTTATTTGCCAACCTTGACTCCAATCCTATTTGGTCTTTTCCTCAGTATACAGGATCACCATCCACCCATTGCTGAAGCCAAAATTCTAGGAGTCAGCCTTGATTCCTCTCCTTTCTTCATTTACTCTCACCTCTAAACCCTTGGTGAGTCTCGCTGACCCTGCCTCTAAAAGTATTTTGAAACCTACTTTTTCCAGTTCCCATCACTACCCTTTTAGTTCAAGCTGCCATAGTCTCTACCCTGGACTATTTTCACAACTTTCTGACTATACCATGTTCCCTCCTGTTCCCCAACCCATGCCCTAGTCCAAATGGAATTCGAATGAAATGGATATGTGGTATCCAGAGTGGTTTTTAAAAATAGGTACCAAATCATGACCTTCCAATTCCTCTAATAACTTCTCTAATGACTTGTCATCAGAATCAGAATAAAATCCAGAGTCATGACCTTAAAAACTCTAGAGCTTGAAGCCTTTAAAATACATTCTATAAGAGATTTAAATCCTGCAAAATTATTTCACTATTAAATATGATGTTAGTTGTGGATTTTTCATAGACCACTTTATTAGATTGAATAATTTTTCTTCTATTCCTAGTTTGTTGAGTTTTATAGTGAAAGTTTGCTTAATTTTGCCAAATACTTTTTCTGTATCAATTGTGATGATCATGTGGTTTTGTCCTTTATTCTACTATTATGATGCATTATTTTGATTGATTTTCATATGTTGAACCAACCTTGCATTCCTTGGATAAATTCCACTTACTAATGATATATAATTGTTTTTATATGTTGCTAGATTTGGTTTGCTGGTATTTTGTTGAGGATTTTTGTTCTCTTGTCTTTGCCTGGTTTTGGTAGCAGGATAATACTGGACTCATAGAATGACTTGAAATCCCTGTTTTATTTTTGGAAGATTTCATGAAAATTTGGTGTTAATTCTTCTTTATGTTTAGTAAAATTCACCAGTGAAGGCAATTGGACTGGACTTTTCTTTGTTGGACATTTTTTTTCTTAGTAGTTCAATCTCTTACTTGTTATAGACCTATTCAAATTTTCTATTTCTTCTTGAGTCAGTTTTGGAAGTTTGTATCCTTCCAGGCATTTGTTCATCTTAACCATGTCATCTAATGTGTTACAGTAATTCCTAGTATTCCCTTATATGCCTTCTTCTTTCTTTTTTTTTCTTTTTCTTTTTTTTTACCAGGGGAGAGCACAAATGAAGTCCCCCACTACCACAAATTATGTAGTCAAGTTTCCCACATTTGGGGAAATCGCAGGGGTCAGCACATCTGGAGTGCAATGGATAAGCCTCTCCCTGGGAAAATCACCTTTGTGATCATGGTATCTCTCCTGCAGGGTAAGTATGCCTTCTTCTTTCTGTAAGATCAGTAGTAATGCCATTTTTTTTCATTCTTCATTTTAGTAATTTGAGTGTTCTATATTTCTTGGCTAAAAGTTTGCCAGTTTTAATGATGTCTTCAAACAATCAACTTTCTTTGATTTTATGTATTCTTTTATTCACTGTTTCATTTATTTTTGCTGTAATCATTATTTTTTTCTTTCTGCTTACTTTTGGCTTGGTTTTCCCTTCTTTGTCCAGTTTCTTAGAATGGAAAGTTAGGTTATTGATTTAAGATTTTTCTGCTTTTTAAATATAGGCATTTACTACTATAAATTTCTCCCTAAGCATTGCTTTAGCTGCATTTCATAAGTTTTGGTGTGTTGTGTTTTCATTTTAATCCATCTAAAAGTATTTTCTTTTTCTTTTTTTTTTTCAGACAGGGTCTCATCAGTGGTGTGATCACAGCTCACTGAAGCCTCAACCTTCTCCCAGGCTCAAGTGATCCTCCTACCCCAGCCTTTTGAGTAGCTGGGACTATAGACATGCACTACCATTCCCAAGTAATTTTTTTTTTTTTTATCAGTAATGGAAAGGACATCATCTAATGCCTCCTGCATTGCTTATTTTCCAGGGATTACGGGAGTTTACCTGCACGCTCTTGTCTTTGCCCGTGTTTTTTTGTAGCAGTGAGATCTCTCTATGTGGTTCAGGCTGGTCTTGACCTATCGGGCTCAAGCTATTCTCCTGCCTTGGCCTTCCAAAGTGCTGGGATTACAGGCATGAGTCATCATGCCTGGCCCTCAAAGTATTTTCCAATTGTCCTTTTGGTATCTTCTTTGACCCATTCATTATTTAAGAGTATGTTGTTTAATTTCCACATATTTGTGAAATTCCCAAATATCCTCTGTTACTGATTTCTAATTTCAATCCATTGTGGTCAGAAATCATACTTTGTATCATTTCAATCCTTTTAAATTAATTTAGACATTTTAATGGCCTCACATGTGATCTATCCTGGAGAATATTCCATGTACTCCTGAGAAGAATGTGTATTCTGTTGTGTGAAATGTTCTGTTAGGTCTAGTTCATTGATAGTATTATTTAAGTGTTCTATTTTCCTGTTCATCATCTATCTGGTGTTCTATCTACCATTGAAGTGGGACTGTGAAGTCTCCAATTACTGTTATTGAATTGTCCATTTCTCTCTGCAGTTCTGTCTGGTTTTGTTTCATGTTTTTTAAAGCCCTGTCATTAGGTGCAATTCATGTACATATATGTTTATATTGCTATGCCCTCCTGATGGATTGACCAATTTATCATTATAAAATGTTTTTTTTTTTTATTTCTAATAATAAATTTTGGGTTAAAATGTAGTTTATCTGATATTAGTAGAATCACTGCAGCTTTTTTTTTGTTTACTGTGTATGATATGTTTTCCTCCATCCTTTTGTTTTCAACTTATTTGTGATTTTGGATCCAAAGCTCTTGTAGACAATATATAGCTTGATCATGTCTTTTAAAAATCCTGCCTATCTCTGCTTTTTAATTGGAATGCTTAATCTACTAAATTTAATATATTTCTAATGTTAATATTTGTGTCTGCTGTTTACTCTTGCTTTCTCTATACCTTTTGGTTTCCTATTTCTCTAATAGTAACAACTTATTTTGCATTAAATAGATATTTTCTAGTGTATCATTTTAATTCTCTTGTCCTTTATTTCACTGTCTTTTGGAATTATTCCCTAGTGGCTGCCCTGGGGATTACATATAACATCTTAAATATTAATCGAGTACATATTAATATGAACTAAATTTCAATAGTATACAAAATCTTGGCGTCTATGTAGTTCCATTCCCTCCTTTTTCTTTTGTGCTATTATCATCATACAAATGACCTCCTTATATATTATATGTCCATTTATGCAGATTTATAATTATCATTTTATACAGTTTTCTTTTAAATCAGATAGAAAACAGTTAAAATGAAAAAATTACATTTACACTGTCTTTTGTATTTACCCATTGTATTATTTGCTAGGCTGCCATAACAAAATACTACAGACTAGGTGGCTTAAACAACAGGCATTTATTTTCTTATATTTCTAGAGGCTGAAAGTCCAAGATCAGAGTGTCAGCAGGTTCAGTTTCTCCTGAGGCCTCTTTGGCTTGCAGATGGCTACCTTATCGCCATGTCCTCATATGGCCTTTTCTCCATGTGTGCACTTCGCTGGTGTCTCTCTCTCTCTTCTTATAAGGGCACCAACTGGATGGGTGACCCCTCATCCAAAATGATTGGATCATTTAACCTTAATGGCTTCTTTGAAGGTCCTATCTTCAAATATAGTTACATTCTGAGGTGTACTGGGTGTCAGAACTTCAACACATAAATTTTGAGGTGCCACAAATTAGTCCATAACATTATTGATACAATTACCTTTATCAATGCTCTTTATTTCTTCACATGAATTTGAATTCCTAACACTCTTTCATTTTAACCTGAAGGACTCACTCAGTATTTCTTGCAAGGCAGGTTTGCTAGCGATACGTTCTCTCTTTTGGTTTATGTGAGAATATCCTACTTATAAAGGATAGTTTTGCTAGATATGTAATTATTGTTTGATGTCCTTTTTCTTTTAATAATTTGAATACTTCATCCAACTGCATTCTGGCTTCCACGGTTTCTGACGAGAAATTGGTAGCAAATATTATTGAGGACCCCTTGTATGTGATGAGTCACTTTTTATTTGCTGATTTCAACAGTTGGTTGTGTCTAGGTATGGCCATCTTTGAGTTTATCCTACTTGAAGTTTGTCAGGCTTCTTAGAAGTGTTGATTAATGTCTTTCATCAAAGTTGGGAAGTCAAAAAGCTTGAGCTATTATTTCTTCAAATATTTTGTCTTTCTCTCTCCTCCTTCTTATAATCCCATTATGCATATGCTAGTATTTACTGATATCCTCTATTCTGTGCAATGTCATTCTCATACTTTCCTTTAATTCTGTAGACATGGTTTCCTTTTATTGTTTGAATGCATTCATAATACTTGATTTAAAATATTTATTTAATAAATTTAACACCTGTCTCAACATCACATCCCAACATTCTTTAGGGACAGTTTCTGTTGGCTGCTTCTTTTCCTGTGTATAAACCATAGCTTCTTTCTTTGTATGTTTATTTTGTTGTTGTTGTTGTTTCTTTTTTTTCTTTTGGAAACTAAGCACTTAACACGATACAATTAGACAACTCTGAAAATCAGATTTTCCCCTGCCCTAGAGTTTGTTATTATTATCACAGTTTGTCTACTGGCTTTCCTGAAAAAATTCTTTAACATGCAGATCCTCTGTTAAGTGATCACTGAAGTCTCTGCTTAGTTCACTTAGTGATCAAATGATAATTGAATAGACATTTTCTTGGAATCAATTAATTTCCTATCCTTTTTCAAGGGTCTCTGTGTATGTGTTGGCAGGAAGTTTACAACTCTGCTTTAGCCTCACTTTCTGCTTGTATAAAAGGTTTTATGTGGTTTTATACAAACTACATATACAGGGTTTTATACAAAACCTCAAGGTTAGCTCCAGGCCTTTTCAGTTATTTTCTGGACATGCACAAAACACTATGCACTTATGTGGCCTTCTGGATTACAAGGAATATGTCAGAGCTTTTCTAAACACCCAATGGCCGTCTGCTTCTTCAGTTCCATCTCTTTTCTTTTCTTTTCTTTTCTTTTCTTTTCTTTTCTTTTCTTTTCTTTTCTTTTCTTT